GGGGGGGGTTACCTTGGTTGCTGATTGGCTAATGGTTACACAAGCCAAAACATCGTTATGACATCATAAAGTGGCCAAAATCTGATCAGCTCATTTTCAGACAGGTTTTTATAGAAATGGATAAAAGTGAGAGAATCTTTTTTCCTGAAACTTTCAGAGTCTCTTTCCACAGAGGGGACACAGAAAAAGTGGATTTTGCATAGGTGACCTTTTATTAATTTGTTCCCTTATCCCCCCACAGGTCAGGTGTAGGTGTGACGGGCGCCAAGCAGACCATGTTTTACGCCGAAGTGTCCGACGACAACTGTGTGAGCGCAGGGGGAGGTGAGCCAGGCGAGGGAGAGCTAATCGAAGTGGTCAAAGTCCCGCTGCACGAGGCCATGACGTTTGCCTACGACGAGCGTATACCTAAAACCATGGGCGTCATTTTTAGTTTCATCTGGTTCCATAATAACATGTCTCCCAAGTACAAGATCTCCACCAATGTGTAACTAGTATTAAGCAACCTTCTTTATACCGTTCATTCCAAATTAAATCAAAACACAGGCCCAGCACATCCACTCTTCCCCTCATCGCTCTTCATCCTGTATTGCCTTTTTGCTTATTGGTACATGATGAAAGGTGGGCCCCTTGTCTTGTTGCCAACAAGTTTCTTCAAGTTTTGTCCTGTTTACCTTTTTTTTGTTTTAATATTTTTCCTAAAAACAAATTTGCCATAGCTGGTTGTCACTGGCACATTTTTGTCTTCTTTATGAATTTTTTTGTATCATTTAATTTACTGTGCCATGTGTTTATAATGGCTGCATATCACTGATTTAATTTGCCTGCCCTTGATTAAAGGAATACTCTACTGCTTTTAGTGTAAGCTCGTGAATGTTCCCTGCATTTAGAAATAGAAAACAAATATTTGTAATATTTGATATAAGCTGACAAAAAGCCATTTACCATTAAGCTTCAAACTCCAACTTGTTTCCAGCATTCCTACAACACCCAGCAATCATTGCAAACTCTGTGAGGCTAATCAACCACCTGGTTAACTAACATTTTAGCATGCTAATATTAGCATTGGAGTTAATGCAAAGTGTGCCAGAGGAATTTTGGATCAAATATGTCACACCAAACAGTGGAGTATTCCTTTAATCCATGATCCAGTAATGCAAAAACTATGCTAGTCAATGGTGGGGCCTTGTAACGATTGAGGTGTTTCGGTGCGTTTTAACCACCAGTTGTTCAAGCATGCCTCAAATAATTTCTCTGATTCACAGCCTTTAAGCAATACTTAGAAAGTACCCCGGGCTAAACAATCACTTGGTGGCACTAAAATCAATCTTCATGACATCAAACCAGTGGACAGTATAAAGTCAAAGCGAAGAAGAAATTGTGATGTTTTGTTTCACGTCACAGAAAAAGCATACACCGACCTAGCCCCACACTGAACTTCAGTATCATGTTTCTAAAGCACAATGCTGCAATGTTTTTGTTTAGTTCAAGAACACTGATGCATATTTTCCCCGAGAAAAAGACACAGTGGACATACAGTAAGGAAAACACTGTATCAAAGCTAAATCAAATCTTTCTTTACAATCAAAGTCATTTCTAGAGAGTTCATTGTATTCCCAGCATAATAAGGTTACATTTCAAACATTAACGTAGGAGCATATTTGAAAGGACGTAAACCACCTAGAAATCTGCCTTTGATCATAATTCATCTANAAAAAGCATACACCGACCTAGCCCCACACTGAACTTCAGTATCATGTTTCTAAAGCACAATGCTGCAATGTTTTTTTTTAGTTCAAGAACACTGATGTTCATTGTATTCCCAGCATAATAAGGTTACATTTCAAACATTAATGTAGGAGCATATTTGAAAGGACGTAAACCACCTAGAAATCTGCCTTTGATCATAATTCATCTAAGAGGTCTTAATTATTGGATGGTCATTAACTCACAAACTCAGAGTGAATCTCAACAGCAGTTTTCCAAAATCTCAGGACCAGTAGTCAAACATGTGGTCATATTCAGGGTGGATCTCTGGATGTGATGATGACCAACGTGTTATTATATTTCAAAGTCACTTGCAGCTTAAAAGGCAACAAAGTTCTTAACATATATGTTAGTATTTTTCTTCATTCAAAAAGGGCTGGTACTTCATTTATTAATAATATGTAGAAAAGGAAGAAATTCCCCCACCTTATAGGTTTCTGAAATATATGCAAATACACTTCTGTTTTTAGAAAAACGATCACATACTTAAACAGATACACATCAAGTGTATTTGCATATATTTCAGAAACCTATAAGGTGGGGGAATTTCTTCCTTTTCTNATTAATTCCCTTTTTGACCGGGAACACCATGGGTGTTACAAAGTTGACTAAATCATCCAAAATGCAATGAAAGTGGTGATCAACAATTGTATATGTTCAAATGTCTACTGTGAAGGATATCATAAAGCCTTAATGCAATCGAATGTAAAACAAAAAAGTTATGATTGATGAAAGTAGCAAATCGGTCAGATTTGACCCGAAGACAACAGGAGGGTTAAGTAGTTTTACGTGTCTGCATTTTTAAATACAAATTCAAAGACTAATAAGGAAAACACAAAGGGAATCTGATTTATTTGGGGATCCTTTGAGAGATTGTAAATTCATTTTGCAATCAAGAACTCATTTTCCCTTTTCCTTAGAAAATCACCACACACAAAATAATTCAAGCAAACTACAATCCTGCATCAAGTAATGATCTCCAATGGACAGAAAGACATGAAGCTAAATTAATTAGAGGGAAGTTAATATGGCGTATATTCCAACACAGCTTGAGTGGGAATCATTATTTAGATATTTGTGTGATTTAAACTTTCTTGACTTTGTTGCATTGAGATAAGCAGCAACAAATAATCGTGAATGTTACGCCTTAAACTGATTTTAGATTTATTAGAGAGAACACCTTACCGGTGAAAACAAATGCCCCCCAAAACAGAAGGATT